ATCTTCAATTCTCTAATTTTGGTGAATATTTTGGTCATTTTTGATAGAAAGTGATATTTTCGACTTCTTGTTAAAAACTGTAAGTTCGATTGCTTTGATACTATACATATTGTTCATTTTCTAATGATGTCTTCAGTTCTTTAATTGAAATGTGCATTGCTAACAGCGGAGCTATCTCAGCCGATAGGCTGCTTGTTTTTTTCACTGGAGTTCTGAGGCCTGAGATTTTCTTTCAGAGCCATCAAAATCGCTGAGACTGACCGCGTCACAGCAAGGTCGAGCGTCCAGTAAACAAATCGGTTAAAGTGAGTTGCGTGTTTTGCATGAGTGGAAAGTCCTCACGCTCGGCTACCGGTACTTTATGTACCGGGACGTCGAGTAAGAGGCCCGACAGTGGAGGTACCGATATTTTTCTCGGTCATCCTCACAGTCAGTTTTTTCAGGCGGTGTTTTACTCGATTTTACCAGCTGCAGCGAGGCTGTGCCCCTGGAGGCTTTCCTCCTATGGGGCCCGTTGCGGGTCTCTTTGTGGACCCTTCCTCGCACGGCGCCGGGTTTGTCTCTGAGTTGAGGGCTTTGGTCGAAGGACTGTCGGGGCAATTGCGTCCCTGGCAGGCCGGGTAGATCAGACGCAGTCGGAGCGAGCTGTCTCCACTGTGTCCCTTTGATGGGCAAGCAGGAAGAGACACAAAAGCATGTTTGCATTCAAACACGTTCCCAGTCACGGCTTTTCCACCATTTGGGGGGGTGGCCGAAGCTCAGGCTAATTGCACCGGTCCTTCTCTGGATCCTCGGGCACTGAATGCCAACGGGGTGCTGGCAGCCAAGTCTCCATTCTCGGGGCAGGGTTTTCAGGGCAGGGCACACGTTGACCCCCCCCCCCCCCCCCCACTTTCAGCCAGCTAGGGTTCAACACGCGGTAACGGTACAACGGTAACTAATTTATCCTTGTGTCCGGCCCCCGCTGTGGGTTCTCTTACTCGTTTTTTACCGACCCACGGGCGCCCCCAGAGGGAACAGACCCTGTCATGAGACGCACAGTCGAACACGCTCCCTCTCACAAATTTAAAGTGAAAGGAGACGCAGTTCGCTCGCGTCGGATACAGCCGGTACTCCGGGTGGTCCCTCAGAGTCTTCCATCTGTATGACTCGGTGAGCCACGCTTTTGGGGTGAGGCGGAGTATCATCGATCCTAGTGATACGATGTATATACCCCCACCCTTGATCCTAAAGCGACCACCTAAGGTTGCTTCAACGCTTATGTGATCACGGGCGTCGGGATCCAAAGCAACCCCGTTGGCACGTCTCTCCCTGTCCGCCTGAGTGCGGATTGGGGCGCTGAACACGCAAACAGTGTTGATGGGCGGCGTTGGTCAGCCGCGGAGGATGTGATGCTTAAGGCCCCAGGGTGGATTAACATTAGGCAACACTTCCCACTGGACCAAACGCTACCCGGTCGGTGTGGTTTCGGGATCAGACCCCATAGCGTGCGATGAGACCAAAACGCCCCCAACCAGATTCCCCAGACCTCGATACCACAAATTTGGCAAACCGGGCAGAGGGGGATAGCCGCGTTCCTTGGGGGTCTTTGCCAACTGAAGACTACCCATCCAGCCCTGAGGGCAGAGTTGCTTGAGCACATTATTGTGCGTGACCAGCACTCTGGAGACCTTGGAGGCAGAACGCACCAGCCTCCTCGACCAGGCGACATTTTTACTGGTGGGCCACCGCATATCTACATGCGACACCCCCTAGTGTTGCCTGGCTCTCATGGCCAGGGCCACTACCGTGCTACGAGACGCGGCCTTAGACGCATGTGTTTTCGCCGACAAGCTGAGCCGGGGTACGTCCCCACCTCAGTGACGCAGACTGGACATCCTCCACCCTCTTTGTTCAGGGAATGGTGGGTACAGTCTCGGAGCTTCGGAGTGCAATGAACCAGAGGGTTCAGATCGAATCCGCTAGCTAGCTAGGGGCCCAGTAGGTATCACTTACACGCATAGAAGCTCTCAGTAGACCCGCACATACGAAAGCCTTATCTGAGCGGGCTGCCCACGTCCTGGCCAGGGCAAACAGGGATTCCACCTACGCAGCCTACATTTCTAGGCTGCAAGCATACACTGATTGGTGTAGCGGAAGGGAGATTGATCCATACCATCCCTCTATTATCCAGGTAGCAGGCTCCTTTGTCCACCTGTTTGACGAAGTGGGTTTGAACTACGCAGCGAGTGTTGGCTACAGGTCGGTCTTGTCCCCCACCACTCAGAACGTACGGGAACAAGACTAGCCGATTGTCCTATTATTCGGAGACTATTTTCTGCTTTCCAGACGCCAAGACCCCATACAAGGGAGCCGCTCAACTGGGACTCGTCGGCTGTGTTGTCTGCTCTAAGCAGACCGCTCTTTGAGCTTCTCCAGTCAGCACCACTCAAATTTTTTACGTGGGAAATAGTGTTCCTACTGGCCCTCGCCTCAGGTAGGCGCCGGTCAGAGCTAGGCGCGCACTGTCCTTCGCGGACGATTGGGCCGCTTTTATGGACGATCAAGTTGTACTAAAGACACGAATCGGGTTTCTCGCCAAGAACCAAATCCCAGGACACGATCCTCACCCGATCGTCATCCCCCGGCTGGCAAATATTGTCGGTCCGGAGGATCAGGAGGAATTGCTTCTCTGCCCGGTCCGAGCGCTGAGTTGCTACGAGAACCGTACCAGGTTTTCCAGACGACGAACCAAACACATGTTTTTGTGTTACGACCCTGGCAAACAGGATAAGCCGGCTTCCCCGACTAACATCTCCAGGTGGATTTCTGCGACTGTACTGGAGGTCTATAATACACATTCCTCCTCAACACAGACCTTGCAGAGACACCAAGTACGAGAACATGAGGTCCGTGCGATTGCTAACTCACTAGCGCTAGCGTCAGATGCCCCCCTCAAACACATTCTGAGGACAGGCTTCTGGAGAATGCAGAACGTCTTCATCAACTACTACCTAAGAGACACCCATATTGAGCAGGGTCTCTTCAGGTTAGGCCCCGTCATAGCGGGTCAGGCCTTGTTTGCTGACCCAGCCCGAACGATCGCAGGGGCCTCTGCGCATAGGCGATAAGTCAGTCTCGACATTTTTGCGGGCAGATTGTCTGTTCCACTAGCACTTCCTGGAAGCTCCCAGGTTTCGCTTCTGTCGACCTACGCCCTCATGCGAACTGTTTCGGTCTTACTTCAAGCTTATCACCCCCGAATTCGGCTTGGGTCTAGCTTTCTCGGGCACACCGAACCCTGTCACCACAGCAGCATTGGCTTCTTGCTTTGGGGACAGCACAGGCAAGGTAAGACACCACCCTTCATGGGTCTTAACTTAGGTTTTTGGGTTTGTTTTCATCCCGGACTAGAGAAGGGTCTTTCATCATTCTCCTTTTTTTTCTGTTGGCTCGGAAAAACCCACTACCTATCGGTGTCTGACTCTGCCTACAGTTCAAAATAGTCATTTGACTGACCGG